GTGTCATATCCCACCCTTAGTAGTTATATAGTATTCCTTAATTATGTGTTGACTGACAAAACTTCAGCATATATGCTGTAATAATGGATGAGTTTATTTCTCCATAATATAATAGTTTATTTGTGGCAAAAAAAAAAAAGTTTCATATTAATTATTGAATCTATATTGTTCTGAATGATTGATTTTTACTTGAATTATATTCCTAAAAAATCCTCATCTATTCTGTTTTAATTGTAACTGCAGTTTGAACGTGAAAGATTTGAGGCCTTTGTTACCCAGCCCGGAATTATAGACAAGTACGAAGCCTTTAAAGAAGATTACAACAAAAGAAATGGACAAAGTTCAAAGGTATGATTGATGATCTTTAATTTATGCACTTTCTATCAAAACTTACAGGAGATGGATTGATGATCCATGAAATAGTAGGAATTACAAATAAATGTGATAAACATTTAATTTCCAATATTTGCCATGAATTTTTTTTTCTTAATTTGTTTTTTGTTTGTCAAATGATGAATTAAAGAAGCTTGAAGAAGCTTTTACAGTGAAAGTAACTATTCTTATCTGTGCCTTACTTCCTTCCAAGTTCCAACCAAGCAATTATTCTTTTCGGTGAAAGTAAGAGATTCTAAGTTTGAGTTGCATAATATGTAGGTAGGGTGGACTAAGAAATGGGAAAAGGTTACCTTTCATTGCGTAATCCAAGATAATAAAATAAAATAAAATATATTAATACAGCACACAGTCCTACAAACCCAGTACTCACAAATCGGCCCTAATTCCACCCCTAAGCCACACATTATGTACATGTTTTCAAAAGTGTTGGACTATTTCGTGTTTTCCTTCTACTACCCTTTATCTAAATCTTTTCAACTCTCTTAAATTTCAGATGGATGGAACGAATGAATCCTTTGACACGGGAATGCTGACAGGTAATTTGGCGGGTATGGATATATTTTTGACATTCTTCTAATTATGGAATATTATTGTTTTACTTTGATCTGGAGGATCCTCAAATGTTGCCTCCAATAATGAGGGAGAATTGCAGTCCAGCTCTATTTGTACTATGCCATTTACTGTGGGTGGCATGAATTCTACTGGTACTGGAGTTAGTGAGTTATTTTAGCACTGAATTTACGTGTCTTTATTAATATTTTTTGGGTATATTTGGAGTTAGTAATATACCTAGTAACTTGGCATTACAGTGGTTTAAACCTGTGAACATATTCTCAAATAACAAGATTAAGTCAATAGGTCAACTCAGTGAAATTCTAGCTTGTTGGTTACTGTCTTAATTACTTGTAGTGGCCTCAGTCTTGAATCCAACATGAATAGGCACCCCATCTGAGCCACAAATACGGGGGAGAGAGGAAGAACTGGCTGAAGTCCGAAAGGGCAACATGCCTATAACTGTTGACAATTGTACTCCACCTGTTTTCCCAATTGGTGGTTCTCGATCTAGTAAGTTTATGGCTAGCGCTAGCCAGACTGCACATCAATCAGACTTCGCGGGCGACAGCAATTGGAAAGAGGCGCAATATGCACAAAAGCAGCATGTAAGTATGTCCAAATATATATATAGGATAATGTAAGACAGGTTATCCTCCTAAAATTTTTTGGAGGATCTATCTAAAAATCTACATTCTAATTAATATTTTTAAAAATTGATCGTCGGATTGAAAGTTCTATTCATGTATATCATGTATGTAAATTTTTATATTAATCTAACACTTATAACCATTTGATTAAAGAAACGCTATGGTATATTTTTAATTGTATTAAATTTCTTATAATCAATGAAGTGGTTAAACCTACTAAAACAATTTGGAAATTGGCATGCATGATTTGTAAGTATAGAACTTTTAATCCAATGGTTGGTTTTTGAAAATATTAAATAAAAGATGAGTTTTATACTAGTCCTCCAAAAAAAATTTAGAGAATGACATGCAAAATACCTTTTTCATATATATATATATATATATATATATGAGAAGGGGTCTATTTACACATAAATTTTGCACATCACACTTAACAAAAAACTTTTACCATTCATCTTTTCACTTATAATGGTTAAGATTTATCATGATTTTTTAAGTAAAAAAGGTAAATGTCTTTAATAAATATGATAAAAAAAGAAAACAAATCTCAACTATTAAAAATGAAGAGATGAATGGTCAAAGATTTTGTGTAAGTGTAGTGTGTAAGTAAATCCCTCCTTTATATATAAACACACGATGCAATAAGAGAAATTCAGGTGTGTTGCTAACTTGCCATTCTTATCTGATATAATGGTGATAACTGAGAAGTAAATGGAGTGATAGATTACAAGTTTCTGTTGTGTTTAAATGTTGTTGGCAACAACTTTTTCTGGCATCGCATTGATATGTACTATGTGGTAAATGTCTCTTAAAATATGCACAGAATACTTATGCTGCTAAGTGCCCATCAAGCTATGGATTGGACCATCTACTGTTAGAGCTAATGTTAGAGACGCAAAAGCAGCTGCAAGGGATGGTGGATAATATCAATCCTATGATTCAGAAGTCTGTTGCAGCAGTTCTTGCATCATTTGGATTTTTCCCACAAACAAATGCCCCTATTGTCTCTCCTGCAGGGCCTCATCATGACCCTCTTGGCATGCAAGGAGGAACTAATGCTGCTGCTGGATCCTCTGGTGGTCCCACAACCCAGTCATCCCCACATAATGGAGAGGTTTTAACTTTACCTCGATCTCACTTTTATGTAGTTTCTTATGGGACATGTCAAATGGATGATGCATGTTTTATGTTTATGTTATCGTAGCTGTGGATCAGAGTAGTGCACAGGACAAGCTCTGTGCAAGAATAACCGTAAATAGATAAGCTAAAGCATGAGTATGTAAGTTCTTGAATGAGAAAACAGTCTAGTTAATCTAGCTTGTACATGGCTGAAATAGCTAATAAGTTTCAGTGTCAAACAAAGGTTTAACAAAAGACTGTATGTAGCTGCCATAAAGTGGATGAGCATAAAGTGTTTAGAAACAAATATAGTAAAGCTTAATCAGATACAGAAGGTTACAAAATAATGAGCTAAATTCTAGTTTTGGGGAAAAAAAAAAACAGGTTTGCGTTACTAATCTGGAGTAGTAGGACCGATGTCAGCTACATCAACAACGAATTTCAAAATCACTGAGCCTCTAAAAGCTCAAGGATTGTTTTATAGGATCCTGTATGAGCTTTGAGAGAAGGTTTTATGTCCCAACTGACTATCCTAAAGGCAGGGCATCTCTTGTCAGTCTGGCAGTCCTTTTATAGGGCCTCTTGAAAGCCAGTGCCAGTAGCGTAAATACCCAGTAGGAGGAGGATTAGTTCAGGGGGGTGGAAGTCTACGGACGAAGGATGAGAGAGAGATGTTTGACACACCTATTAAGCTAGCTAGTCTGAAATGAGATGATAGACACAAATGTGAGCTTGGCTTCAAGCTATAACTGAGCCATTTGCAGTTATTAGTCAATTTTAATACAAACTAAAAACAATCTACTGAATTTAGAAGAGCAATAGAAACCCTCATGACAGATTTAGCTTTGGCATAATTTAGATAATTAGCAATGTACAGACCAAGCTATGACAGTTTAGCACAAGCATTTCATAACAAAATTACCCATAAACAGAAGTTAAACATGAAATGGTGTACATTGACAAACTAGGTTTTCCTGCATTTCCTAATTAGCACAAGCATGCAGGATTAGTCTTAATATAAATAAGATGTAAACAAAAAGAGTGCAAACATAAACACCAAAAACAATCAATAAGTATAAACTAAATGGCTATGGAGTCCACTGTCCACTAGTGTGCATGTACTCACACTCTTGTAATGAAGCTAGTCTCAGTAAATACCTACTGCATGCACAGCAGTCCATTATTCTCATTAGATCCACAACATGTTAAACCAAAATATAACACTCACCTAGATATATACAAGCTCATGCATAACACAATCTGTTATAACGTAAATCATCATTAGAAGCATACAAATATACGTGCATGTCATTCAGCTTACATTCAATTTCTCTTTAAGTTAGTTTTTGGCTGATGACTATAAAAGAAGTGGTGTGGGAGCTAATTTAGGGATGGTAGTATGGTCTTTCTATCATGTTAGCATGTGACCTGAGTATGTGTGTGCAGAATATGTAGTTGGTGTTTGGCTATGATGCTGGTTTGAGTGGAATCTCCATACTCACACCACCCTGGAGTTTCAATCGTCTCCTTGTTTCTTCTTTATATGGTTTTCAAGTCTTTTTCTTTTCTTTTCTCCTTTTTTTTTTTTTTTTTTTTTTTTCAATAATCCTTCCATGG